ATAGTTATTGTGTATCGGCTCAGTGTGAAAAAGTTATCACTATTTTATTAGCTCGTAGAAGTAGCTTATAGCATTTTACGACTTCTTTCGACTTATTCCGAAGACAAAATGAGAGATATTATTGCGATTGATTTTATCTCATCGGTTCGAGCGAACAACGAGGCTGCTTCATAATAATAATCGCCTTTACTTCGATGTACGTGCTTTTGATTAAAATCAAATTTGGGAAATTCAGTGTCATGAATAATAACAAACTTGGATTTTCATTAATTGAAGCTACGTAAATCATCTTATGTGTTTATAACATTGATTGGCATCGGGATGATTAGTTTTTAACAGTGAATACGAAATTTATACTTGATTAAAGGGTTAATATGCAGTAGATTGAATTCAATTCTGATGAAATTGTCTTGAATTCAGTTTGAATATGCCGCCTCCTTCACTTCGAGTATTGCTAGCGAATTGGCGTTCAAGTGAAAATTGGAAAATGAATTCAGCTTTTTTTAATTTCACGTTTTAATTCAGGCAAATACAATATAAGATAGAAGTTATTCTAGTACTTTCCGTAAATTGTTCGAAACAAAATAATTTTAAATGGTGTTATTTGGCGGTTGTTTAAAATGTGTTTTCACACCACTGATTACAAAGTTGCTGTGCAATAAATGCAAATTTAGATTGTGAAATAACAGCGCTAGCTTGCCATATTAAAATTGTTGATTTCAGTTCAAGCCAGCATAACCTGGAACTGTGTCTATGGTACGCTGTTAAATTGTGCATTTTGTTTTCAGAACGCTCCGGTTACACGCTTTAATACAAGTTAAAAATTTATGATTTTTTGGTTTAATTAATAAATACTTACGGGCGGGCGCATACCGAGTCACATCAGCGAGTAAAATCCGTGAAACTGATTTGTAAAAATTATTACAAGTGTCGGTGGTACAGCAACGGTGGCAGCAGCAATGTGAAAATGTTAAATATGGATTACAGTTGCGATGGAAAAGCTAGCGAAATGTGAAAATATGTGTGGTGCGTACGCAAATGTTGTTACTGTGCTACACGACCAACGTCGAAATTGAAATGCTAAAGATGACGATGTGAATGGCTGTTAGAGTGCTTTACGACTGTAGAGACACACGCACACACAACAAGCAAGTGGCAGATGTGTTTTATTAGGAAATTTTAGTTCATTAATTCACTTTTATGGCGATCATTAAATATTGTTAAGCTTTCGTTTTTTTCTCTAGCTGTTCGCGAGCTCGATAAAATATACTAAACGGTGGAGGGACCAACCAACGACAATGTCGAACAAAATCTGAAGGGCACACTGCTAATATTCAAGCATTTACTACATTTCAAAGACGTACCGATAAGATTCAAGCTTAGCCAAGGCCGTGCCATCTTGTGCATTGATGAAACGGTGAAACTGAAGCGTATATACATTGCGGCAGGGAACATAGATTGGTCGAATGAAATTTAAAAAAATTGCAATGAATTTTAGTTGAAAATCGTATCCGTAAAATGAATGGATTTCTCTATCTTTAAACTGGTTTCGCTTGTCGATGATAGCCAAAGCGATTGCCACTTTTGGATAGTTTAAAATTTTTCGATAATGGTTTTGTAGACGCAAGCGTTGCACAGGAACCATGTTCAGTGTATCGAGCTCGTAATTCATCCCCATAAGCGTCATAGTCATCATCGCCATCATCATCGTGTAAGATATACTTTTGTGGCCGATAATAGCTGCGTGTTGTACGTTTTGTCGTTGATTTTGGCATTTCGACACGCTTAAACCCGTTTGATGTACTGCCCGAATTGTTTGCATGAAAATGCTTGAATGGCCTATGCCTTTCGACGCTTTTCATGCTTTTAATGAATGATTGACTAACGGTAGTGCCGCGCAATAGCATTTGATCATCGACAATGCTATTTTGATACATAAAATTTTCGGTGGCATCACACAAATTACTACTGCGGCTATAATTAGCGTTATTTTTGTTGGTGTTGTTGCAATTGTTGTTAATTTGGTTAGTGCGATTTTGAAAACGATTACCTAAGCTATCGGTTGGTAGGGAAAATATGTCAGCTGGCGGCGGTTCGTATATCTGTTCTGCATTGTAATTATTGTTTGGGTCATTTTTTGGATGCCTTCGATGTGTATGTTGCTGGGAAAATCTTTTTGACCGCGCTGGCTGGTCGAAATTTTCTCTGAAATCGATATTTGCATAATTAGTTTTGAACAATGCACTATTTAAATTGGCTGGAATAGCTGTGGACGCGTTAAATACTTTGTAGTCGATTATGTTCGGTTGTGAGCCAAATAATTTTCGACGATAATCGTTAGCACTGATTGAATCCTTTGGTTTGTTGCCATATTGCATTGTTGTGGCGGCGGTGTTGCTATCGTCGAAAGTCCTGCCTCTCGAAATAACATTTCGCTTTCCATCGCTGCTGCTGCCTGGTCGCGTTTTCTGTACATTTTCATTCATTCGATAAATTTGTGAAGCTGGCATAAATTGTTCGGATATTTCGTTGCCATCAACCACTGAACTTTCTATAGCCATGGATTGTGCACGCGGTAACGTGTGTTTATTGTAATGTAATGTTGTTTTTTCAAAGTAAGATTTATTTTGCATATTTCTGACTTGACCAGTTGGACCGTTGCCGGTTTGTTCGGCATCAATTTCTTGCGACGATAACGGTAAAAGCAGAGGTAAATTGTCGGCTACAAGGGGCGGAGGCGGCGGTGTTGGAATATCGATGTAACGATGCACTCGGTCTTTTATTGTCTGTTGACTGGGATTTTGTGCCATCAAATGCATACTGCCATCGGATTTGCGGTAAGCTTGTTGCCTTCTATCGACACCACTACCGCTGCTTTTACCATCATCATTTGCTGCGTTATCGACAGTGTTTGAAATTGTATGCAATTCGTATGGTTGTTCAACGATTCCTCCTGTTGGTGATGCGTCTCGACTTCGTGACATCATTTCAAAATCATGCACAACACGGCCAACGTGCGTTGTTACATCGGGAATGCCCAACGAACCAGAAAATAGATCACGTTGATGCTTACTTCCATTCAATATCATGCTGTTCCGCAGGTCATTTTGTTGTGTTGCTGTCGACTGCACGCATATAAAAGCGATTTACACAATTTATATGCATACATTTCAAATAGATAACAATAATAAATTACAAGTTTTAATAACATTCGCTCTTTCGTTCAAATCGTTAGTTAAAAAATAAAATTATAAATAGTCAAAAAAAAAAAAATATATTGAGTGAGTGGGGACTTTTTTGTTTACCGAAAGTCTAGTTGGAACACGCACAATTTATAAATATAGTTTCGTAGGGAAATAAATGGATTTTGTTTTGATTTTGTTTTTCTGGCATTCTTTTTTTTTTGCTCAAAAAAGACTATTCTGTATCATGATTTAGTTCTTTTTCTTCTTCTCATTTTTATCAGCATTTTCAAAATATGGAAATCTCTCTTAATTTTGGTTCATTCGCTTAAATGTAATATTCAAATCTTGATTGATGGACAAAAAATGCTTTTAGAATGAAACGTCTAGAATTTACAATTTCAAACGCAGCAATTTGAAGATAAATATCGGATCAGATAGTTAGCATTTTCATAAAATCGAGCTCATTCAAAATAAAATCTTCAAATGAAAGTTTGTATATTGTAAAAAAAAATTGTTTGCAGTTTCCCATACATATCCGACGATGTGCACAAACGTTGATGAACTCTTCAACATCAAGTTGAAACATCTGCAAGTTTGTTTTAACTGAGATAATGCCAAAACTTTGATGAATGAACTAAAAACTCGATTGTAAATTCAAACGAACACTCGCCACTTCTTCATGGCTATCGTTTTGCTGTACACTTGTTATATGCATACATACTACTGAATGTGCCTCAAGCACAATCTTAAACGGACACGAAATTTTTAAAATTCTCAAACAACATTGCAAAAGTCGATTTTGATTATCTGTTCATTAAGCCATCAATATAAAGACGTTTTTAACTGGCAACAGATGATGGATGATGAACAAGAATAGCAAAATTCAGTTCGTAATTGAGGTAAAGCGATTCATAAAACTTTTCACTCAACTTGTTCGATCAACTTTGTAGTTTGATATTTTTCAATTATTCGAATTTACTGTTACTTTATGAAAATACTTTTCGGAAAAAAAAATTCGAGTAGCTCGCGCTACAGGGAAATGCATAGAAAACTTTGTGTTCATGTTTAATGCCGGAATGGAGCAGAAATGCTTACGAAATCCATTAAAACATATTAAACGAAACGTTTTCACAATTTTATTCTTTTTCCATCGATACAGATTCAATTACGTTTTTCGAAACGGCGATAGAACCAAAATTGTTCAACAGAAAGAATTCCTTTGTTTCAATATATGGTACAACAAGAAAAAAAAAATTCAATTTATATATTTCAAAAATAAATGTATAGAATTCCGTTTCGTGTATTTACAAAAATGAATGAATAGAGTAGAAAAAAGAAAAATAAACATAAACTTTGAACGCAATTAAAGTAAGCGAAAATAAAAGCTGAATCGATGCTTGTACGCGTAATGAAAAGAATATTTTCCCAATCTCATGGACATTCATGATATTATTAAGACAGAGACAGAGAGAGAAGAAGAGAGAAAGGGCACGAGAAAGATAGTAAACGAAAAAAAAATAGAAAGGAAAATGCTTGATCAATGTAATTTTTACAGCGAAAACAAAAATGAGAAACGTAACAAACTAACAAACTAAAAATGGTTAAAATAACGAGAATATACAAGTTCAAAAGCGAACTTTACAAAAGCGAAGAAGAAAAACAAAACCAACAAACGGATGTTTCAAACACAAAAAAATAGCATTGAAAAGAAAGAAATGTTTAAATGTGGTTAGTGATGAAAAAGTAGAGGGAAAATATGAATGTGAAAATAGTTTTATCATGGTGTTATAATACAAAATGTAACATTGTGGGTGTGAAATGTGGAGAGGTTTCGTGTGTAGATGAGTGCAGGTTTGTGGTTTTTTTATTTGTTGGTGTGGCGCTTTTTTTTGCTTCTTTTTACAGTAATTTTTTATGAATATGAATGATGTTGTGTCTGTGTAATTTTGTGTACTTGTGTATATTTGAGTAAATTATCAACATAAAAATTCAAATGGAACATAAATACGATAGCAGTTTTTGTTAAATACAGCGTTTCTTTATACAGTTAATCTTATATATATATAATATACGTTTGCTTTCCTTTTGATTATAAATACACATTTTGGGTTCACACATTTTCGTCGCGTTGCTAGTTTGAAGAGATGGAGCAAGAGCTATGTTAGAACAATTTGGATTCGAAAGTGGATTATTATTTTCAATGCTCAATAACAATAATAATAAAAAAAGAGTGTTTCATAGCTCGTGTTCCTTCTTTCGATCGCAATTAACACATAAATCGTAACGTTCAACCATTATACAAAATACGAGGATAATCTATTGTTTTTTGGTGTATGCATGTGTACATGTGTGGTCTTTTTGTGTGTATATGTGTGTGCAGATTTTCACAACCGAAGCATTTGATTAGTTTGTCCTGCCTTACTGTGTTGAACAATAAATGTCGACTATGCGAAATAATAGTTTTGGTTTGGCGCTTGGTTTTTACTAAAAAAAAATACGAATTGATGTCCGATTTTACGAATGAGTTTCGAAAGTTTTGCGAAACGGTCGAAAACCACAAAAATCTTTTCAATAAATAAATTAGCTGTGTCTATCTTTTTTGGCCGTTGGAATGCGGAGTGGTGGCGGTGGCGGTGACGGGGGTGATGACAAGTGCAAACCGTGTGATGTGTATTGTGCAGCAGTCTGTTTGTGTGTGTGATTGTGATGGTGTGTGGATTTTTTTGTGTGTTGATGTTTTTTTGCATAAATTGGACCGGAGCCCGTGTGCTGTGATCGAAGACCCTGTGCCGAATAGTGTTTGCGATGTTGTTTCTTTTCTTTTTGTTCGGCCGGCGATTTATATGGATTGTGTTGCGATTGTGACGATTTTGGCCGATGCATTACATAGTCTGCGGTCGCATAATCGTTAACAGTGGATTTTTTTCGACAATTGGATGAGGCCGCCGCCACCTCTTTTGATAAATATTCGCAAACATTCAAGGTCGAACTACTGTCCGAGCTACTATTGGTGCTGACGAGACTCAGAACGTCAATCGATGTGCTTGGCTGATTCAAACGCATCGAATAATCGTTCGAATCGATCTCTTGACGATGATTGTACATCTTGTAAGCGCCACTTTTATTTGAATCGGCGGTCGACAGTTTGGCATAGTTTTTATTGGTATTTTTTAGTTTTGCTTCGGCTGCACTAATCGCTTTCGGTTTGATTATATCGTTTGTTATTTGATTTGCAATCAATTTGCTTGTGATTTTTGCATTATTACTATTACTACTATTTGAATTACAATTGATATTGTTCGATAGCGATGCTGACGATGAGAATTTTTTCATCGACACATATTGGTTATTCGCAGTGCTTTGATCAATGCTGGCAGTGATGGTTAGATTACTATTACTATGACTAATTTGATTGGAGTGATTTGACAGGTGGTGGTGGTAAATAGGTTCACGTTTCTGCTACACTACGTGGTTAACATGGGTCCCAAATGAAGTAAGAACTGGCATTGCCTACGTAAGAGAGATAGAGAGAGACATACATTTATGTAGATTCAAATGGTCTTTTGGAATGCGGACAATATTGAAATTGATTGAATTGAGAGTGTTTATTGTCTTTTTTTTTATATTTTGTTTCTAATTGATTTTGAATCACAGCTGTAAAAACGACGCCATTCCTATTTCAATCAATCAATCAATCGCTTTTTGCCCGTTTCAATGAGAATCAACGAATTGAATCGACTTTTATGCTCTCAGATGACTTTTTCAATTGTTAAGATATATAAAATTCAATCCATTTGTTGGATGGCGTATCAAACTTCTTCGTTAAGTTTTTTATGCACGACATCCAAACTTATGACAGTGCACCGACATTTTCGCTTCAAATAGAACGATATAAAGTGAAGTGGTAGTCTGGAAAAATTGTTAAATTTTGTGGACTTAAATTTTAATTATTGGGTTTTTAAAGGAAATAGTCGTTTCAATCGTAAAGTAAACTACTTGAAATTCCCACTTCCCTGAAACGAATCCTCAATTTAAGTTATTTTATCAGCGGACGCTTAATTTGATGGAGCATTTTCGATTCCATTAAATCGAAAAATTGAAATTAATTCGAATGTTCAAAAGCATAAAATCAATCAAACTAATAAAAGACTGTTTTGTTTTATTGTCGATTGCAGAAAAAGAGTATGAAAAAGAATTCGAATTTAAAATGGTCTGTGGGTGCCGACGTAAATGTATTTCATCGCAATTCAATAAATAAATATAATTCTCAGTTCAAAGGGATTTCGAGTGGCGATCAATTCTATGTGATTTCCGATTTTAATTAATTTTATGTGTTGTTTTCGTTTTTCATTACTACGGGCAATTCATTTTTATCAAAAGCAATTCAAGTACTAACGAACTTTGGCAGCCAGCGCCACATGATGATGACGATCGTGGGGGTGGGGGAAGGCGAGGAGTATTTAACGCCGCTTTTCATGAGCATAATGAAACTGGGTGCTGGGTGAATGACGAATTGTTTTCAGATTTAATTAAATCCTACGTCACCATAATTGACGAATGACACATTGTTTGCAAATGCTTGAATCGCAAGAGAAAAGAATTATTTTCATCATGGACACACGATGTGTTTGCCTTTTTTTTTCAATTCGACACAAATTCTTTTGATTTCGAATTTGATTTACTTTTCTGTCATCCGGTTCGGAGTCCGACACAAATGTAAACTTACTTGATCGAATTTATTTAAATCGCCATGCTTCACTCACATTTCGGACGCGCGCTCTCATCTGTGCAGTGAATAAATCATCAAACCCCTTTTTCCTGATGATTCGACGCGAAATCTGCCTGATATGCAAAAAATAATGAATTCGTGCTGAAAAACCTCCGTCATTTCCTTTTTACATAAATTCAAAATGAATAGAAATGAAAGTGGAGCGCAGAGAGAGAGAGCGCGTGCGATATCTATGAAAAGAGAATGGAGTTACGAGTGAAACTGTGAGCGATAGCGCGGTATCGTCGTTTATTTTAGTTATATTATTTTTCATCAATTGAGGCCGCCGTCATATTGACCGCTGTTGCAGCAAACACAGGCGACAACGGCCAACTGGTTTGAAATCTAAAAAGATTGTCTGTAATGAAGATTGCAGAATTTTCGGAAAAACATTTTGCTTCTTCATCGAATTGCGAATATTTTTATTCATCATCTCCAAATGCGTCATTATTATTTTAGTTCAACAATAAAATTGCAATGAATTGCACATTGCTCGAGGATCAGCACAAAAAACGTTAATCCATGTGGAAAATTATAAACAAATTGCACAAAAGTTGAATAAAACATAATGAAAATTTAATTGTTTTTTTTTGCTCTCTTTTTAACCGAATTGAATGAAGATATTGCCGACAGATTCGTTTCGTTTGCATTTTATGTTCGTCAGTTGCAGTTTTAAATTAATGTAATTGTACTGAGCAAGGGTATAGCATATGCTCTAAAATCGGTGTGCTGAAATGACGAAAAACTATTTCCATGGTAGAAAATGGGTGGGATTTTTGCAAAAAAAAAAACAGAGAATATGGTCAGTTGATTCAAATTCAGATAATATTCGTTGTGAAAAGTTCGTTTCATTTATATTTACAGCAAACCGCATGCTGAAGTTTAATTTTGTGATAAAAAAGAGCTTCATATAAATTGGTCTTTTTTTTAATTTTAATTCATGTATGCATTCGAAAAGTTAATGCAAGAGCAAATTACAGGCGGCTTCACCACTTTGAAATTCAAGTTTGAATGAGGGCCACAATTGCGCCATGACTAAATAAACATTTGTGCTGTCGATAGTGTTGCTGGTTTCGACGTTGATGAATTTTCATGAATTATTTGATATTTATCCAGCCGTAAATTTCCGTACAAATAGTGCTCACCGTTCAGCCTATTGGAAAAAGGGTGTTGTTGAGCATTGGCATGAAATGAATGTGTGCAACCATTATTCTGCACCTTGATTTGATGGAATATGTTTGATAACGATTTTTGTTTTCGTTTTCTTCTCGCACTGCCACTGGATTTATTAACTGCTTGAATTAAAATCACTTGAGCAAGTGAAACGATATTGATATTCATCGAACCGAGTTACTTTCGAAAGCGAAATCCTATTTCATTGCATGTAAAAAATGCTCTCAATCATGAATCGAAGAAAAAGAAATTCCGATACTAGTGAATGTGCACAGCGGAATTGCATACCATACAGCATATGGCATATCGTAAGTCGTAAGCATATATATGTATATCGATGCGAATAAGAATCGAATGCATATCATTTCAAAATGTATATCCTTTTTATGTGGCTGTGTACACAGCAATGTGCCATGTATGAGTTTCGAAAATCAACGTCAAGTCACTTAAACATTTCACTGTGAATGAATCGTCTTCATGCTGTCCGCAGTTCGATGCATTCGAATGCTAAGTCATTGAAACGATTGAAAATTCAATAATAAATGTATTTATGTGTATATGTGTCTATCGGATTGCTTCGCATGAATACATATCTCGGCATGCACATCAAATAATATTTACGTGAAATGCAATTTCACATTGGAATGTATTCGTTCTGGCCATCTCATCCGAAAGTTCTATCTTCTACTGAATGTGGCATACTATTTTTATCCCAAGTATTTTATGAGTTAACGAGTATTCTAACCAGAGAAAAAAAATTGAACAAGCCAACGAACTTAGTTTCAGTGTGTCTCTGTGTATTTATTTGTTGCAAATGGCAACAATATTTCCCATTTGAAGGAGTCACTTAAAGCGATTGTATACTGAACATGGCGACACTCGGCATCATCTCAATGGAAATGTTTGTGCGATGGTCGTAGCGATGAAGCGAACAAATCGAACGCGTTCGTTTGAACGTTCGCCCATGCATTACGTTTGCAAAAATATCGTCAGTATTTATCTCTTGGGCATATGAAGCAAATAGAGAAAATGCAATGAAATTGTATCCCATTTTATGTGCAAACGATGCTCAGCAATTCTGTTTTGTGCATTCATTCGCAATATTGTGATATGGCAGGGAGAAAAATAGAGAATGAAAAAAAAAAAACAAACAAAAATCGAATTCGAAAATCGAATGATTGAACATGGACAAGAAGAAAAAACGCTCCCGGAACGATGTAATTAGTTCGAAAGACAGACAATGATGAAAATCGAATGCCATGCACCATTGAGCATTATTTCATTTGTATAGGGCATTTTTTTCCTCTTTCTCTCTGTGTGTTATTCCTGCCTAGCACTTATTTACCCTTTAGGTTTGCCTCTGATTCAAAAAGAGAGAGAGAGGGAGAAAGAAAAAAAGAAAAAAGAGAGAGAGATATGAGTGAAACACAAACAAATTTGACTGTTGATAGCTGTTTTTTTCTCGTTTATTGCTATCCCGTTATTGGTATCATCAGAATTGTATTTGGTCTGGGGAAAATGCTTGAATCAACACAATAAACGAATTTCCCAATACAATTTAAACAAGGTCGACGCATCGATTTTCAAATCTCTGTGCCCAATTAATCCATTAAAATGCGTTTGTTACAATTGTTTTGATCAAATATAGATGCATTGATTTTGCGAGCATCGCATCATATTCGTTCCAATTGAAATATTCCGAAATGAAAAACGCTCAATATGAATGCTGTGCGCTGCTGTTTTGTGTGTAGCCCATTAAAATTCATTATGTGCGAATGTGGTGGCAATAATAATAATTTTGCTTTGTTTTTAATTGTGCGCTCGTTGTTTTTTTCTTCCTTTCCCTCTGTGTACATTTTGCTTCGTCGTTATTCCGTGCTATTTGGATTATAGCAATACAAAACCCCGAAAAAATGCCACGATTCATATATTTTACTGTTGGTTTTTCGGATCACAAAACGAAAATAATAATCGTTATCACATTAGGGTGTGAAGGGCTGAATTTATGACAGTCAAATGTGTTTATGATATGAAAATCGCAGATGATGCTGACACTGTGTAGGGTGGATTGGGGGCGGGCGATGATGATTGTTTCCAATAAAAATGTCAACAAAAACCGCAATACCATCGAAAAAATTATTCAACTTGACAATTAAACGCGCCAAATAAATTTCATGAATGACAATGTTTGAGCATTTTTAAACGTTTTTTTTATGCCCATTCTAGCAAGCTGTTGTCCCGGACACATAAATTTACAACATTTTGCGGGAAAATTCAAAAGCCTTTGATAAAAAAACAACATTGTGCATGGAAAGGAGGCCACAAAATATGTCCATATAGATATATGGAAAGAATAAAACTTAATTATGTGATCCAATTGTAAGCGGGCGAAGAAGTTGAATAAAAAAAATGAACGAATTTGATCAGTTTATTAAGTTAATGAAAATTTAATTGGAAGGACTTTAATTTAACAACTTTGTCCAGTTTTAATATTTCTTTCCATCACATTCGTTGTTGTTTGTGATTTCGCTGGTGAAAAATTCGAAATATTCAATCGGTCAGTAACATC